TCGTCCCCGAGGACTGTCTGTAGTATCCACCGCAGGAGCGAGTCAAAGATGGGTTTCGTATTCCCAAAGAAATATAGGAAAAAGGAGCCGAGTGATGGAAGGATTCATTGATTGGTAAATCTGTGGGTTCTAGGCCGAAGATTCAAGTTCTTCAATCATGGGCTAACATATTATGGGAAGAGATGGTATGGTTTAAGTCTCTAAATTTGGAATTTGGTTTGAAGCTTTTCGTGTTTCAATTTCCTTTTGCCAGTTCCTGCGACTGGGCTTTCAAGTCGGGTCATGGCACTATCCGGGGAATCCAATTTTCTTTGAAAGTGGCATGTAGGGATTCAACTGGTTATCCATCCACCCACTATGCATGGGTCATAATTTGGGGTCTATCTCTTGAATTTATGTTTCTTGAAGGCTTAGAATGGGAGACGAGAAATATTAGAAAATCGTTGTGGATGGTTTAGAACAATGTAGTCAACATCGCACTTTAAAACTTAAAAACTTACGATTTTACGTTTCTAGGTCACTAAAACGCTTCTACACAAAATCTCAGTTTTTATAACTTACCTAGTTAAAAACTCCGCTTTAATACTTAAAAACTTACGATTTTACGCTTCTAGATCACCAAAACATTTCTACGTAGAAACTCGCTTTTGACTACATTGGTTCAGAAGACTCTACTCGGAGATCAGTTGGGGTTTTCCAAAGAATGTTTGGAGTTGGGTGCTGATTTTGATTTTCCTAAGATAAATCGATTATATCAGGATGGAGATCTTGATTTTGAGATCGGGGTTGAGTATGAGAATATTCATTTGTTTTGTGCAAAGTGTGGGGTGTTTGGGCACGATTGTGCTAATTCTCGGGGTCCAAGAGGTGTTTGGGTTCCTGAAGCAAACGCTGCTACTGTTGAATGTGATGAGGAGGATATCTTGATTGATACAAATAATGATATAACATCTGAGGTTTTAGAGAAGGAAGAGAATGTGGGTTTTGTGATATTGTGGTCCGGAGTCACCTACTGTTGAGAATACGAATGTGAGATTTGATGGCACTTTATTTATAGTATTTATCACTCACATATTTGATACATTTGCCAATGGTGCTGCCAAAATTGACGAATCCTTCAAGAACAAGGAGAGCAAACTCAAAAATGGAGAAGGAAAAACACCAACGCCTAGACCCGACGCAGTAGATACCTTAGGGAAAAGCATGCCCGACGCTAAATTTTCATCTCCAACACAAAGAAGGATTCATGCAAATCTGTCTCCCACAATAAAAGGGATGGCAGGTCCACAAGATGCACCCCCATCGCTACCACCAGATGCGCCATTTCCCTGTCCAACGTGCACAAGGACTAAAAAGAGTCTATACCAAAAGAGGAAATAAGCAGTGGTGGCACTCGATGCCCACCCATCGCTCGTCTATAAAAGAGAGGGCATCCCCTCTTCTTTTTCCTCACATCAACTAACAAAGATCTAAAGTATCAAGAGCAAAAAATCGGTGTAACAACTCATGGGAGCTCTTTACCAAGTAGACTTTCGAGGAAGAAGGAGTTGTGGAACCATCTTTGTGAGATGGTGGAGGAGAAGGAAAGAGAATCAAAGCTAGGATGCAAGAGGGAGGTAGTTGATTCGGGTCCAATTGTACACATTTAATCCCTCATTTCTTATTCGTTTTTCTTAGTTGATTACTGTCCCTCGACCTATTTTACGCTGGGTTGTGCTTGTTTTTTACATTTCAGGTCCTAGCACGTGTGGGAAGGTCGAGGACGAGTTTCAGGCCGATTGGAGGTCGAAAAGTGCCAAAAATTGAAGAAAAGTCCTAAGTCACGGTTTGGACGCAATTGTCACGATTGCCCCGAGACCATGAAGCGCAGAGGTTCTAGAATAGTTGCGCATCTCACTAGAGTCCAGTCAATTCACGGTCACGCGACCATGAACTCCAGCCCTAGACTGTGAAGTGACTTAGTGAAAGGGTGCGAATCTGCTCGACTTAACGGTCCAGGACGATTGTTCACAGCCGTGAACAGGTGTCGTTCTGGGTATAGAAAGGGGAAGTGAGTTGAAGGAGAAAGGAGAGCTTTTTCTAGGGTTTTAGTTTTCATAATAAAGGAGGGTTTCTAGGGAGAGATTAGGGTTTACTCTTCATATTCTATAGAGAGAAAGTGTCATTCAAAGGAGGAAGAAGGAGATTTTGGCTTGTCCTAAGCTAGAGGAGTGAAGATTCTTACCTCTCAAGGTAGATTCAAGCAACAAGGAAGGAAAATTGTCATCTCTTCATGGTTCTTTCTCTCCTTTTTCTTGTTTTCCCTTGCCTCTATGGAATAACCTACCTATTCACTTGGGCGTTGTGAACCCTAGATTTAAATATGTGATAGATTGTATTGATTGAATGCTTTGTGTGTGGGTTTGTGTTTAATGCAAAGTTTGAGGTATTTTCATGATGTTTGGGTTGTGTTCTTTATTTCTCATTACTATGCCAATTTGACATAGGTAGAGGGAATTCCCCTTTTAGTTAGGAGGATTTTATAAGATAGATTCATTGGCCAATTGAGTCACCTACCTAGGGAAAATTAGGACAACCCTCAACTTCGATTTAGCACTTTAACTTGGGTGTTACTTTGCCGTCCGGATTAAGTTTTGAGGGATTGGTTCTTGCAACCATTAGTTTTATCGGTTAAGAGAGCTAGGACTCCTAGCTTGGTCAAAAGGTTAAGAGAGGTAGACTTTCTAGTTTATTGTAGCAATCCTTAATCCATTGATTGAGAGAACTAAGGTTCCTAGCTTAATTGTTTTCCTTAAACGATTGATTAAGGAAGTGAGGTTTCCTTCACTTATTGTGGCCTCCTACGGTATATTAACACACCTCCACACATTAGCATTCGATTTGGTCGATCTTGATATGTCGCTAGGGGTAACAATACCAGGATGAATTCTTATCTTATTGGGACAACCTCGATTTACTTTACTTGTTTGTTTATTTTGTAGTTTTCTTAGTTTTAAACCCAAAATCGTTTGCTAGATAACAACCTAAGCGATTGAAGTAGGGGTACATAAACCGGCCCGGGTTTGACAATTAAAACATACTTTCCCAAACTACACCCGGCTAGAGTTTATGCTTGAGCTCTAGTCGGGGTTGAATTCGCGGTGTATCTGTGGCGAGTCAGTATCCATTCAAGGAGGAATGGAAGAAGACATTGGTGTCTGCTAAAGCCTATGCAATGAAGACATATCATGCCAGAGGACAAAGAAGATGACACAACCTCGACAAAGAAGATGATCATCCATGAAGAACCATCTTGATACCCTCCAATGATGCAAAGATTAATAGAAGCTTTGGGAGGAGAAGATATCGAGCATACCACTATTGCATAGCGTTGGTGCTTGGGAGAGCCCAAGACAGAAGCTTGAGCAACTTATGGAGAAGGAGAAGTTTGAGAAGACTAGCATCAACTCAAAAAGAACTCATTCGAGTATATGAAGTGAAGGAGGATCCTGGTCATTGCACAATAATTTGTCTCCTAAATGACCATTATCCAGAGAAAGGATTGGTGGATCTTTCCACTTCCACTCTATGAAGATATGGGTCTAGTTGACATGGAAGAGATAGAAATGGAGATCAAGTTAGCCCTATTCATTGCTTGCTTGATCAATGTGTGTTCATGCTTTGTCAACATGCATATGCTGCGGTATTAATATGTAGAAATTTGTATATATCTTTATAATAGAATAGTATGTCATTACATATTGAGTCTTTGTTAGTGTTTGGCATAATTATGTTTTGCAAAATAACAAGTATCAAATGTTACATCTTTTTTTCTAGCCAAAAGTGTTAATTTGGTATCATATACCACATAATGTGTTATTTGGTCTAAAATACCACACTCAAATGCCACATCCAGACGACCCATAAGTATTTTGACTTCTCTGGAGACAACATACTTTTTTTTGTAGATTTTGGTATTAGTTAGAATAGTCCCCGAATTGATGAATGTCTCTAAAGTGTTGTTGGCTATATTAGCCACCCAATGGCAATGGGTAGACTCATTGGATAATTTGATCCAATTGTCATGACACATATGAGCATATGGAGGACCAAATTAGACCCATATACACTCTTAATGGTTTTGAGTTTGGGTTAAATTTGGATTAGGTCTAGTTTGGATCAATTCATTTAGGACAGACTTAAAATTGATATTTCTACATTTATGTTTGTTTCTAAACAAAGAAACAGACAAATTGCATTAGAGTTTGTTATTATCTTTTTTATCCCATATAATGAGTCTTTAATTTAGACTCGAACTAAAAAGGTTAATATAAGTATGTCCCAAAAAGAATATTACCCAAACTTGATTAAAATAAGGTTTTGAATCCCACTCAAAATTTGTGGTTTTTTTGCCCATCTGTAGCCACCCACCTGCTTGCTTTCCGATAAGCAACCTCCAGTTAGGGGTGGAAATCGGTACCGTATCGGTATTCCAATACCGAATATCGAATTAAATCCTAAAATCAATCTCAATCGCAATCGCAATCCCTAAATAATTTCGATATCCCAATTCCTAAATATTTTGATATCCCAATCGGTACTTCAGTATCCCAATCGGTATTATCGAATACAAAATTAATTACATTTATAATTAATATATAAATTAGATTTGATTGTTTAATATAGGACAAATAGACTAAACAAAGAGTTTTGAGTTTGACCAGAGCTAGGATATAGATAAGGATAATCGAGTAGAGGTGACATCTCAAGTTTTTGTCATTAGTAATCTTTAATTTGACGAATTGGAGGCTAAGAGAAGACTAATACTAGTGTTTGCTTTTTGGTGTTATGAAAATAACAATAGATTGGTGGTTGTGGGTAGTGTAGTAGTGAATGAGAGAGTCTAGTTGAAAGGATAAACTACACACTAGCTTATATTTCGGTATTTCAGTATATACCGATCTCAATCCCGTAATCCCTAATACCGAATAACAATTGAAATTGAATCTCAATCCAAATCTCAAAAAATAATACGTGTATTCGGTGATACCAAATATAGACAAACTTCCAGCCCTACCTCCAGTTGTACCAGGTCTAGGGCTTTCTCAACCATTAACCACCACTAAAGGCACCATAAAATAAAATTGTCACATAACCAGACTGTCTGTTAGCCTTACATGCAGTACGTATTTCGTGCAAGCTTGAAGTTATTCTAAACCAGAATATCTAAAGTTCTAAACCAGAACCTCAAATCCCAAGCCACGAGGATCAGACATACCAAGCCTGCCAAATTGTATTGCTTGCATTGCTGAAACGGGGCAAGCAGGGAGGTACATATGTTGCGGAAAGAAAGGTACACATAGGCGTTACCGGATAATGGATGAGTTAGATAGAAGTCAGTAACCTCCTCAAATTATTACATGTAAAATTTTCAATAAATTTAGGATATAAAGTAATCAGCAAGACCTTAGCCCCTCTCCCAATTATCACGATTCAAGTCAGATAGAGTAGTCAGTAAAACCTTAACCCCTTCTCTCAGTTATTACGATTTAAATAAGTTCTCCTCATTCAACTTTCTAATTCTGCCATTGTTGCCTGGTTTAACAATCGTAGCATTCACCAAACCAGAAGGTGCTGATAGTAAACCTAGGCGACGATAACATTAGGGTTAATAAGTTAGTTTGGCTCGAACTATACACAACTTTCTACTTTGGTCCGTGGTTTTCGAAATTGCTATCCTGCCCTGAACTATGTACCATACTTTCTAACTTGGCCTGAAGCAAGATTTGATCGTCAAATTGAACGGTCAACTGAATTGACTGTTAGTCAATGATCAGCTCACTTGCCACATCGGCGAGCACGGAATAAAAAAAATGATTTTTTTTGTATTTCTGTATTCATTTTCTTTTCTAATAATAATAATAATAAACAAAAAATAGAAAAGTAAATGAATACAGAAATTCAAAAAATAAATTTTTTATTTCGTACTTGCTTACATGACAGGTGAGCTGGTTATTGAGTTGACCGTCTAATTTAACGATCAAATCCGAATCCGTACCAAATTAGAAAGTATGATACATAGTTCAGACCAGGATAGCTATTTCGAAAACCACAAGTCAAAATAGAAAATTTGTGTATAGTTCGAACTAAACTAAGGTATTAACCCATATCATTACAACTGACTTACACACAAAGAGCGGCTCCCTTTACATCTTATCAACGGGGTGGTATGGTACAACGACCACCTCCTCACCGCCCCGGCCAGCTTACAAAGACTAAACTTAGGCTTAAAGTGAAAGAAACCAAAAAAAAAAAATGAAGTCTGTACAAAATTTGGACCCCCCCCCCCCCCCCCCCCCCCCCCCCCCCCCCCAAGAACCTCCCCAAATTCTCTATTCCCTCCTTTTACTTTACCCTCACAACATTTCCCCCCGTTTTGTTGTAACAATTCATCACAACATTACAATGTTATTTACTTCACACTTTCCTCCTTATCTACTCTACAGTAATTTTCAGTAACGTGGTGAGTCTGGGCTTCTTGTATCGTCTCAAAAGTAAAGAAGAACACACTACACTCACCGATGACAGCGCCATGCAGGCACCTGCTGCCCACGGAGGCAACACGATCCTCAAATAAGGGAAGAACACCCCAGCAGCTATGGGTATCGCCACCACATTGTACACCATCGCAAACATGTAGTTCAAACGGATGCGAGCAAACGTTTTCCTCGACAGATCGATGGCCGTGATTACGTCCTCCAAGTTGTTCCTCATCAGCACGTAGTCGGCAGCTTCTATTGCTATATCCGTCCCCGCACCAATGGCCATGCCGACATCAGATGCAGCCAGGGCCGGCGAGTCGTTTATGCCATCACCAACCATGGCTACCGTGCTCCCGTCCTTTTGAAGTGCGCGGACCACATCGGCCTTGCCTGCTGGCATTACTTCTGCTCTTACATCTTTAATCCCAACCTGCTTTGGATGCAACGTGCTCTTAGCTCCTCTTCCAGATGATAAAAGTTTCTGGTGAGCCCATTTTTGGTTGATTTAAGATAAGGAAAACATACCTCTTTGGCTACTGCACGAGCTGTCCGCCAGTTGTCTCCAGTGACCATGACTGGTTCGACGCCCATTTTTTGAAGCCCTTCTACAACGACAGCAGCTTCTCTCTTCAAAGGATCCGCAACTCCCAGAACGCCAATTAACTTGTCATCAAATGCAACAAGTATGCCCGTCTTTGCAGAATCTTCAAGTTCTACTACAAAACTCTCGGTAGCAGCTGAGATTTCAATGCCATTCTCAGCCATGAGCTTCCGGTTACCCACCTGCTCAGCCATCGTAACATATATCATATAAGAATATATACTCAAAATTTTCTACTAGGTTCAGTTCTCCGGACTTCTATTCAGAAGTAGAAACCAACACAACTTATTGCAACATCTCCATTAGCCTTACCAGGACTCGTTTGCCATCTATACAGCACTTGACACCCGTTCCAGGTAGTGCAGAGAAATCTGAGACATCCAAAAGCCACCCGGATATTGTTGAATCTTTATTATGGGCTTCACCATCCTTTGTTGGAGAAGGCCCATCAAAGAAATGGAAGTGTCGGGCATACTCCACTATTGCTTTTGCCAATGGATGCTCACTGCTCGCCTGAACCACGAGAAAAGAGGGAAGCCCTCAAAGCATCAGTCATTAATTTTTACACATGAGATTTGGAAAGGAGGGAAAGGGAACAGCAAAATACATAAGAATTGTTTCAGGCAGCCAGCTCATATTTTCATGTCAAAGAAAAGAAAATTACCTCTGCAGAAGCCACCCATCTGAGGAATTCTCCACGATCCATTGCTGTGAAAACTTTTGCAGTGGTGACTGTTGCTTTCCCTTGAGTTAAAGTTCCAGTTTTATCAAATATCACGTAATTGATCTTTTGAGCCCTTTCCAAAGCATCTCCTCCTTTTATCAACACACCATGCTTAGCCCCAACTCCAGTGGCAACCATCACTGCTGTTGGTGTTGCCAACCCAAGCGCACATGGACATGCAATTACCACCACTGATATTGAAAACATGAGAGAGAAGACAAAGATATTGCCATTTTCAGGAAGCCACTCTTCAGGATAAGCTCCAATAGTTCCACCAATGTACCTACGAAGAATTCATGAAAAAATAGTGAGCAAAGAATAGAGTGTTTCCATTTACTGCCACTAAGGAAATAATTGATCAAGGCCTTACCAGCCCAATAATGTAATCAAAGACATGGCAACAACTGTAGGGACAAAAATGCTTGCAACCTGCCACAGAGAAAGAGATCTAACATCATGAACTGAAATCATTCATGAAACAATAACCCAGACGCCAGTTCCGCCAAGAGCAGAAGAAAAAAATTTCAATATATATAGTCAGGATTTTAGGACAACTTTGGGAGGAAGGGGGAATAAGACCATAATCCTTTGTTAGATACAAGACGGGTATCATTTTATACACATCAGTTACCAAAACTATCATAACGTTTGTCACGAGAAAACTGAGCCAAAATTTGATACTCACAAAATCTGCAAATTTCTGAATTGGAGCTTTGGACATCTGTGCTGTTTCAACCAAACTAATTATCTGGCTCAGAACAGCATCCGATCCAATTTTAGTGGCCTTTACATGTAGCACACCATGTAAGTTAATAGTACCACCAATAACTGATGAATTAGCTTCCTTTAGAACAGGCTCCGACTCTCCAGTTACCATACTCTCATTAACATAACTTGAACCCCATACAACAACGCCATCTGCAGGAATTTTTCCACCAGGAATAACTTTTAAAGTATCACCAGGCTGAATCAGTAAGGCATCTATTTCTCTTTCTCGAATTTTTCCACCTAATAACAAATTATATCAATTAATTCAGAGAATAATTATATGACTGAATACGCTGATTTACTGGAAATACGAACAGAATAAGTAAGACTGAGGAATGTTAAGAATACCTTTGTCTTTGTCAACCAGTAATGCGGTTGCCGGTGCAAGTTCTACTAACTTTTTGATGGCATCAGATGTTTTTCCCTTTGCAAGACATTCCAAATACTTCCCCAATAATACGAATGTTATCAACATGGAACTTGTTTCAAAGTAGGTAGGAGACCAGAACCCAGTGGCAGCACCGTATAGAAGGGCACAAACAGAGTAGAAGTACGAGGCGGAGGTTCCAAGTGCAACTAACACATCCATATTGGTTGAACCATTTTTAAGTGCCCTTGCAGCTCCTACATAAAAGCGCTTCCCAATTACAAACTGAACCACACTCACCAATGCCCACTTCAACCAATCATCCATGATGAACGGTCCACAACGCCAGAGTAGCACAGAATATAGCAGTGGTATATGAGGGCATATCACTCTTATGAAAAAGACTGGAATCTGTAACCAATGGGACAAAAGAGAAAAGAAATGTTAACAAAAAAGCTTTGCTGCTGAATGAAAAAAAAAAGAACAGACAAGCAGCACTCACACTGAAAAGCAAGCTGGACATGAAAAGTCTGAACATATTGGACGCTTCCTCATTATCTTTAGACGTCATTCTTGCATATGGATTGATAACGTGTAATTTGAACTGGCCATTGCTCCCTTCCTCGACCCCATCAACCAAGGATCTAGAGCTAATGACTTCAGGGTCAAAAAGAACTTCAAGTTCGGTGGATATCCTGTTGTAACGGAATTGACGAACGCCTGTTGATGTGCTAAGTATTCCTTCCAAAAGTTGTGCGTCAATCTCTGTCGTTACTCCACTAACTCCGACTATGATTTTGTCCTGCTGACTGCTCTGTACAAGTGCCCCTTCGAAACCAGCATCTTCAATGGCATTCACTATGTCATTCTTATCAATTATCGTGGGATCATACTCAACTTCCCCTAAAGATGTGGCCAGCGCCACAACAGCCCTCTTTACACCAGGAAGATCTCTCAAAATACCTTCAACTGAGTTCACACAAGCGGCACAAGTCATACCGCCAATTGTGAACTGACCCACCAGGGCTTTACTGTCAGAATTTTTCTTCGTTGTAGTAGGTTGAGGCATAAACTCTGCATCAAACCCTGCATCCTCAATTGCATTCTTGACATCATCGTCCTGATATGAGGAGTGAATGGTAGCAAGCAAAACTTCAGAATTGATTTCACAAACAAAAATCGTCAGCCTGTTCACATCATATCAGAGAGCAAAGAAAGCAGTCATAGCCAGAGCAAGAACTGAAAATGCAAGTCTATATAACATTCAGCATCGAATCGTATTTGGTGGGTTTTCCTCCCATATTCTGCCATGCCCACTTTAAACTCTAAAGTTTCTTACTTCGGGGACGTTTATCTGGCCATCCAAGGAGATCAAAATTGTGTACGGTAGAGTAGTAGTTGACTGTATAGCCCTAAACCACATGCAATTACTTGCAAGACACAAATTTGAATGAAGCAACAGCATTAATTCTCGTTCCCTCGTCATTAAGGAGCTGGAAGTCACTGTCGATTTAAAAAGAATAGACCAACTCCTCTTCTACCAAAGTTCATCTGAACTTATCCAATTGATCCATTAATCAGCAAGGAAAACGAGGGGCATAGGCAGCTTCAGAAGGACTCCAAAGCAACACCAACTAGACCCGCAGTTTCGAATTCAGAAAGGAAACTAGCGTGCGTCTTCAAGGAAACGGAACGCGAGGAAAAAAGGGGGAAAGGAGGGGGAAAAACAAGAAGAGTCCAAGTAGGCCAACCAACATTGACCAAGCTGGGGTCAAACACGACATCGGCCCTGTTCTGAAGCAGCGCAACAGAGGCGGAGACAACGCCATTGACGCTCCTGAGAGCTGATTCGACGGAATTGGAGCAGGCAGCACAGGTCATCCCGGTAATCCTGACCTGAATCCTCCTCATCATTCCCTCTCCTCCTTCGCCGCCTTCTCCAGCCTCGATAACATCATCGGATTCCCGCTGTTCGTACGAGTCCAGGAGCCTGACGTCCTCCATGTCACCGGCATCAGCGTCCTGGCCGCCGGCGACTCGAGCCAGCTGCAGGTCTCTCGCGCCCGGCGACATTATTACTTGCCCCCGAGCAGGACCCAGTCTCGCTCGACAGGAGGTGGGAAGAAAGAGGGGAAAAGGCAACAGATGAAATTGGAAAGAACAAAATCGAGAAGAAGAAGAAGAAGAAGAAGAAGAGAGGAAAGGGGAAATAAAGAGACACGAGAGATCTTTCAGCCGGTGAGAGAATACTGGATTGGAGTTGGAGGGAGACACAAAGAAACTCGAGAGATATATGGGGAAGACCAGCAATAAAATCAAATCAAATGTGCAAAAAACTCTTTATTTTTTTAAATTGTGCAAGAAATTTATAATCTCCCAAGTCCTAATTTATTAGCGCGTTTGTGTTCTATATATTCGGCTCAAAACACTTTCCTTTTTTTCCCAATATGTTATGGGAAGAAATCTTTTATAATTTTTTCAGGATGCTAGTGTGAGAAGGGAACGTTTAACCAAAGGTTGTCTGCCGGCTTTATTGCTTTAACCACTTTGTCCGATTGAATAAGCGAGTTAAAAGGTTAAATGGTTCCTACTTTCAACTTTTTAATTTGATTGAGTTTGGATATATGAAAAAATTTATTGTATAGATCATATACTTATAAATTATATAAAATTACATCTAATATAATATAATATTGCACTAAAATAATATATCGTACTTAAATTCAACATATAGTGAAAATTCACATATAATAATATAACATTAATATTCAACTTAGATTTCAAAGATAGGATTAGACCAAGAAGAAAACAAAAAAAGAACGTATTTCACAAAGTAAAGGGGAAAATAATTATGTGTGACCTCCAACCCGATACCTTTGTAGTGGGTCCTGCAAGTGTGTGAGTCAATTTTTTCACTGGGTCAGAGTAAAAAAAGGTTGAACTGCGGGTTGACAACCTTGCGTTTAACTTAGAATTCAAACACAATGTTTTTATTTAAATATTTTAAGTATATTGTGTGAGTAATCAAATTATATTATGTGAAATAATCTACTTAATCTTCTAAAAATGTCTCTAAACCGTATTAATCTTCGTCTAAAAATATTCTCTATTCTCTATTTTTAGAATTAGATGGCTAGTATGTAGTGTGGTTAGGAAATATGACGAATATTCGATAGTATAAGAAAAACCATTTTATCATGTAAAAATATAGTGTGGGTCGTTTGGGTGACTCGCAATCCACCCACCATCCACCCACATAAGTGCGGGTAGGAGATTTATCAACCCGCAATCCACCCACTACTTGCGGTTCAAATTATTTGCGGATCAACAACCCGCAAATTAACCACCCACGCAGGGGCGGACCTAAGGGGGTTTAGGGGTGTCCCGGAACATCCCTAAATTTTGGGGAAACGATTATCCAGCTTTCGGTGGTAATTTACGTACGAACAAAAAAATTATAATTGACAGTGAGGGTCTGAGGGACACACCTGAAATTTGAAAAAATGATTATCCTACTGTCATATTTAAATTTGTGTATGAGAATATAAGTGGTAGGTTGGGTAATCAAATCTAGAACACTATTATTATTAATAAACATAATTTCCATTAAACTACAACTCATTTGTTGTTCGATTTAGAACATTGTGTAAATAGTAAAATGTCATTCCCTATCTCTAATTATTTTCAAATCCTAACAATTAATAAACTAATTTCAAGCTACTCTTAATTTGTATTGATTTTATGGTTGTGCGACAAGTGTTGAAAGAGTCTTTCGGCTTTGGGTTACATAAAAAACGAGTACAAATCGAATATGTGATCAGTTCGTGAATGATTGTTTAGTAGGATATATAGAGACAATTGTTTTAACACCGTAGACACCAAGTGTATTCTACAATTATTTCTGAATATGAAAACACATCATGAACTTTTTATAACCTGTACCTTTACGAGTAAGGTATTTTTTTATTTACAATTTTTTTTATTATTTAATTTATTTTTTTAAAAAAACGTCAAATTACTGGATCCGCCGCTGCAGTGCCCTCCCGTCGTTTAGATATCTCGTTTTCTTGTTCCTTTGATCCTTCTTTTCTCGTCCAGTCGGCCAAGGTTTTGCAGAGCGTGAATTACCTTTATATCCTCAGATTGTACTGCTGAATTTGGTGAGTTGTACTTGTAGTACTATCGTGTCGACAATGTGGGTCCCGCAATGTCCAAGGGAGCCGGTGTGGCCATCGCTTGCCGCCACCTTCATCTCCCGGAAGGCGCACCTAAATACTACTACCTAATTCATCCGTACACAACGACTTTTTTATATATGATTTTCTGGTTAGGTTTTCATTAATATGATTAATGATTAATCCAAGAAATCCTTCATTTGATTGTATTAGTGGATTGGTGCCCATGGCCGTCTTTTCTAAAAACCAAAAATTCTTGCAGCTTGCAGGCAAACAATAGTAAGTGTATAATTCTTAATTATGTATTCGTACTAATTAGATTTGGACATTGAGTTTTAGTGAGGCTAGATTTAAAGAATGCGGTTAAATTTGTATTTTTTTTATCAACTAGTATCTTCTTTGTTTTAACATTTAATTCGATTTAAAAAAATTTCAGATGAAAAGTTTATTGTGATTTACAAAATGATATAAATTTGGATATATTTCAAGAGAGAGAATAGTGTACCACCAATTACCACTTCTTTATCACCGTCGTAACACATGATACCACTTTGTATCACCTTTGTTTTTTTACTCAAATTTTGAAAGATTTTCTATAGGAGGAATGAATTCATTGTGATCTACGTACCACCATCTCTAACGAGGAACATAGAAGACTTCTTTAACTACAAAATAAGTGTAACTAATAGGAAATTTCACTATGATTTTCCCACTACTTCCAGTTTAAATTTATTTCCCAATCTTACACTGCATGTGAAGCTGGTATCAAGTGAGGTAAACCAGTTTTTGTTCCCAGTCAGGTGGTTGTTGCATCCCGAGTCAAGAAACCACCATAACTTTTCTCCTTTACTCTCCTTAGCACCATCAGCTTCAACACTCGCCATTAGCATAACATCTTCATTCATATCTCCATATGATATGTGCTTATTAGGATAAGAGCTAGAGTAATTAGCCTGTTGTTGATAGGTATTCCAGTATGGACATTCATTTATGAAATGTCAAAACTTGTGGCATTTGAAACACTCTGTAGGCTCTCTACTCCAATCTCTACCCTCTATCTTTTCCTCTACATGGCTGACCTCTTCCACCTCTTCCCTCAAACTCATGACCAGTCCTTAGAGCATGGTTCACTCCCCATGCATTCTTCTTATGAAACTTATCTTCAACTACTATTAGTAAACTTTGGAGTGCAACCACTCATAGCAATTCAATATCTTTTGATTCTTCAATTGAACATACAAAAAAAAATTCTTGGTTAGAGTTCTGAGAATCTTTTCAATTATGTGAACATCAGTTAAATTTCCTCCACAAATCCTCACAGAAATAGCCATTATCATAACCCTATTAAAGTATTCAATTATAGTTTCACTTTCTTCCATATACAGAAGCTCAAAATTCCTTCTTAGAGTATGCAATTGAGCTTTGTGGCCCCTAACACTACATTGATATTTCACGTTCATTCAATCTCGCAATTCTTTAGCAATTCCATTTTTGAATTGCTGACAACTCCTTTCCTGCAACATGTTCTCTGAACCTAGTACTCACCACCTTCTAGTATTCCTCTTTCCATCATAAGGATCCAATACTCAAAGTCACCATCAAATTTTGGTACGCACACCTTTGAAAAACGACTTGATTAACTCATTTCTTTCTCGCAATCTCATAGCTTAGCACTCACCCTATGTCCCCTTTTGATGATTCTCACAAATAAACTCGTGTTTTCCATAATCACCCACGTTCACTCTATATGCAAATGTCACTCACACTTGCTTAGAAATTCTCACACAAATCAATATGGATACATCTTGCATAAAGATTTGATACAAATATGAAAGCTCAAAATGAAGGGCAATCTGACAGTTTATTCAAGTTTAAATAAACAAGGTTAAGTACATGATTCTTGTCCTAACGAATCGGCCATATCCCAATAACTTATTCCCATGATCCTGGAGAAATTCCCCACAAATAACTGACCTTGACTCTAACTACTTAGCTGAAAACTAGCTTACCACTAACTTCTGCAACTAACCAAAATGTCTAATAAAAAAAACTTTAGGTGCTACAATATAAAAAGCCAAATAACACAGTTTATTCAAATTCAAACTCTTTCTACTTGGCGTCACCTTCCTTTAGTTGTTCTTCCTTCCACCGACATGGGTTCAATTCTTCCTCTCAACATTTACATCCATAACCTTACATGAGTGTATATCATAATTAAAGCACCTCAAGAGTATTTTCTTTTTTGACAAATGCAAGCTCGATTCTTTTTTTATGGAACCTGTTATTCTTTATTAATCAAAAGACGTGGTTACATTATCCAACCTTAGTTGGTCAATAAGGAATATTGGAGTTCTTTGTACCCATACCTTTGGTGAATCCAAGTTTGTTTCATTGTGTGGCTTCCTTTTCTTGTCTCCTCACATGCTACCTCATTCCCCTTCGTGATCCCTCAAGAGATATCTTATGCTTCTATAGATGGTACCCAATTATATATGAATGCATTATGCTTCCTTCAACTTATAGACTATAGTAAGGGAATCCATTTCTAAAACCAGATTATGGAGATGGAATCGTTTAGGCCGCCGTAAATCAAATTCAGCTACTAAAGCCTCATCGATCTCCGCCTCCCACTCCCCTTGAATCTTCTGGGTTGCTACAAAAAGGAATTTTCCTTCATTATTTTGTATAACTACTCCCAATCCAACTCCACCTTCCTATCAAACCCATACATCCATGCTAATCTTTATTGTCCATGTCTTGGTTTCAGCCATTGAAGTTGGGTTGTGGGCTCTACTATGAGAGCCTCGCATCATTGCTGGTGGAGATTGCAATTCTGAAAGAAGTCATGTGCTCTCGAGACGATGGCGAGCTCATCAAACTTTGTCCCATCAAAGAAAGATGCATTCCTTTCCTTCCATAAATACCACATGAGCACACACCATTCTTCAATCTAGATTTCCTCAGAAGGTTGGAAGAATTCTCTAACTCATTCTAGGAAGTTTTGTTCCACATACATCTCAAAATAGCAGGCCAGGTTTGTCAGTCTCCAAATGTTACATGTTCATCCACATTCTCCGAAAAGGTGAAGTTGATTCTCACTTATCCCTCAAAACGAGTATGTATTACTCTTTTTGTACTTTTAACACTGACATGATCTCTTGTGGGTAAGTTATTAAGCGCAAATTTCCACATAAAATGTCGTACCTTGGG